AGAAACGGGGTTAGGTGACCAGTTTGGCCACTGTGTGCATATGGTGAGTGCATCTGTGGAGACCAAACCCTCCTTCCCATTCCAACCCTGGAGCTGTTTTTCCCGCCACCTTCCCCTGCCCATATAAGATATAGTCCCTGTGTGGGCCTAAGGGGTGTGGTGAGGAAGCGAAAGGCCCCTCACATCTTCCACAGGAGCTGCACCCTGGCCCTCCTTGCACCTATGTGTACCCAGTGGGAGGATCAGAAGGGTGAATCCTTGGTAGGAAGCAGGGAAATGTGCCTCCCTTAAACATTCCCTCCCTTCTGCATCATCTTTCTCCCTTCTTCATTTCAGGCTCTCTCTGCCTGGGTGCAAGGAAGGGGATGGAGGCAAAGCAGCACAGGTCTTCTATCTTGTGGCTGTTTTTTCTTGCACAGACCACAAAAGGAAGCAGTCAATGCTGTGGGCTGCTCAGCGGCTGTGTTTGTTTGGGCGGGGGAGAGTATTTCCTTTGTGGGTGGCAAATGCCTTCCTCACCCCCTAAAATATGAAGCATTGTCTCTGCTAGGGGAGGGAGAGAACAGGAGTCAAGTGCCCACTTCCAACAGTCAGTGCCACACACTGCAAGAGCGGTGTTCACACATACACATACATGTATGTACACGTGTGCCTGTGTGCATGTGCACACACAAACACACACGCTTGGGTGCTGCTTGGCCAACTGTGCAGTTACAACTTATGTATTCCAGCCCCTTTGGGACTGCCTCAGGACACCCTCCCCACCCCTGCTCCAGCCAGCCCCCCTGACAGAACTGGCCTACGCAAACTCATATTCAGGGCAGTCTCCTTGCTCCTTGCTCTTCTCATTGCCTACAGAGATCCCTGGTACTACCCCGACTGACTGGTTGACAGTAGGCATCGTCAGAGCAGGATGCGGGACTCCTCATTGCCTTTAGACACAGGATCTATTTGATCCACACACCTCCTTCTCTACGCTGTTTGGGGAAGGACCCCACAAACACAGGGCTGCACCTAAGCTCTAAGAGATCTGAGCTGTAAAGCAGGATCTTTTGGGGCCCTCTGCCTTTCTAATAAGCACGCTTATTGACAAAACCTGGAGCCCTTTCAGCAGCAGTGAGCACACCATTTAAGCAGGAAGGTAGTTGCCAGTTGGGACAGAAAGATGCTAAACAATTTCCATTTGTGCTGTGGGTCATTATAGTTGCCTTGCAACATAAAGAGGGGTGGGCTAAAGCAGGCATGGCTTTGCTTTTAAAAGATTCTGCTGCCAGGACATTTTGGATTCAAAGAGCTTAGGAATGGGGTGGGGCAAACTGGTAGTTCTCCTGCTGGCCTTTCTCTAGTTCCTATCTCCAAGACCAGAAGGCCCAAGCCTCTCTGACGGACCCATGCCAGTGCTTCACAGGCTGCATGACTGTTTGGGGCAAACTCGTGGAAAGGGCAAGGCGATGCACGCGTATGTCTATCTTTTGCCATCAGCTGATGCATGGGCCCAGGAGAGAATGACTGTGGCTCTTACGCTGTTTCCAACACTATTGATTCTCATTGGGCTGATGGGAAAGTCATTTTTTTACTTTGTCCAGAGGCTGGTAATCGTTGGGAGGGGTGGGGACTGTCTGGTTCCTCTTCATTTTGGGGGATGGGTGGGTGTGTCTGGCACTGGTGGTTAGAACTGCACAAAGATCTGATGGGAGGTTGTAGGGAACAGGATCTATATTTCTGCCCCCACGTGGTATGGACTCTGAGGAAGAAGGGAAAGGTTTCCCCTGACACCTGAGGAGGCAGGAATGGTTGCTGGGAGCTGAGCAGCAGGATTCTTAATATGTCTGCCATAACTGCATCTGGCAGTGGAGGAGTTGAATGCACTTACTCAGACAGGGGAGCAACGGGCTCTGGGGTTAATTCAGCACACAAGGCTCCTGGCAGGCACTGCTGGGGCTCCAGCCTTACTCAGAGTGTCTCTCCTCCATGTCCCACTGGGAACTTGAGAGGGAAGGAGGAAACTCATGTTGTACCTTGCTTGCTCCACCCTTCACAGGCTCACAGCATCCCAGTGGCTAATACCCCGCCCCTGATCCTCTCAGCAATGAGATGCCCAGGAGTGATCCTGTTCAACAGTGAGATGCCCAGGAGTGTCACAACCTGCCCACCTTCCCAGGAAGAAGCACGTGAACTCGGTGCCTTCCTGTACATTCCTACCCCAAACCACCTTTTCCCCCTGTTCCTGGCACTGGCATGGTACTAGCTGGATACAAAGAACCACAAGCCAAAGAGGAGTGGAGCAACCCTTATCCTGGGAGTGTCCTTGGCTCCCTTCTCTGAGCCCCCAGGGCCCTTCTCTTTCCCGCCCAGTTTCACAATCTCCACTCCCTTGTGCCATGTGTTTTGCTACCAGCTTGGAAGGAATGAGCCAGACTCTGTGCTGAGATTCAGCAACACTTGTCTGCACAGTGCTCATGGTTTCAGGGGATCACTGCACAGTGGTGCAGCATGCTCCTTTCTCTGCCCTCGCAGAGAGGGATCACAGTGTTTTTTGGCACTCCCAGCTCCTGATGGCCCAGGGAAAAACCCTGGGAAAGGAGCCTGAGTTTTCTACACGGTAATGCGTATATCTAACCCTAGGGCAGTGAACTGGCTTCCGTAGCATTCCCTTTTCCCTCCACACCCCTATATGAGCTGGCTGTATGCTAGATTACCCAATTTCTATGGACAGGTTTACACATACAGTGGAAAGAGAGAGTCACAGCAACTTGATGCATTCAGCTTTTACAGAGGTATTTTGATGTTTTAGTCTTAAGGACAGAAATAGAGAGGGGGCTGCAGGTCAGGATGAAAGGGACTGTGTGGGGATCTGATGCTGCAATAACAGGGTGGGAAAGTAGGGCAACACTGATCTGATCTGTATATAGGACATTGAGAGAGCTGCTTGTGGATTAGTTTGCACAGCCAAGGCTGCTGATATTTGAAAGCAGGGAGGCAAAACTGACACACACGCATACACACACACACACAGACATGCTCATAATCTACCAGCACGTAATGATCATGCTGTAGCTGACTCAAAATAGGGCCAGCAAAGCCTCTGTGGCGGACTGCCTTGAGCACGCACTTCCTGAGGACTGAGATCATGGGAAGGTGTTAAGCCACCAAAAGAATGTGTGCACATTGTGTGTGCATGGGTGAGTGTGTGCAATACCTGTGTGTGCCCGCCTGCATGTATCTAGGGCAGGTGGCTATGCAAGCAATGCAGAATGTGGGGAAGGCAGGACCTTGGCGTGAGGGCAGAGGGAGGGACAAACTTGCTCTGCTAGGAATCATGCCTCGCGATGGCATGAGGCCAGGCCTCAGGCACTTGTCAGGCAACCAGGACTCCATCAAGGCAAGAGTCTCCTTTGATCTACCGCACAGTTAACCTGCTCTAGACGAATAACCTGACCCCAACAGGAACGGCATATCAGGAAAGGCCCCTGCTGCTCTGGTTGGCTGGCAGGGAGGTCCCACCCCTGCAGTGGCACTCCACCCTTCTCCCAGCTATATCATGGGATCAGGTGGATGTGTTTACTGCTAGCTCTTGCACTGTGCACCTTTCCAGGTGAGCCTCCAAGCATGTCCCTCTGTAACTTGTGTGTGTGATTCCCCATGTTCTGCATTGCTTGCATAGCCACCTGCTTTAGATACATACAGATGGGCTCACACAGGCATTTGCCCATGTACACTGATGACCCTGAACTTCCCCAGACCTGGCCCTGGGGACCAAGGAACCCTTGCACAGCTGCTGAGGTGAGATTCTTCATCTCACAAGACCAGTTTAGCTCTCTGGCAAAGCTAACAAGCTCCCCAGTCCAGGTGTACAGTCTTTCAGAGCCCAGAGTCTGTGAATGTCACAGTCCAGGCATGTTGTCCTCACTGATTTAATGGCCTCAGAGACACAGGGAGAGAATAATGAGCTTTGCAGCCTCAGCACACTGACATGTTTCAGTCAAACTGATAGCATCTGCAACAAGAAAAGCTTGGCACCTAAAATTCCTTCTGTGAGCAGGGAGTGGAGCTAATTCCTATTATCTGAGGCTGCTTTTGCAACCTTGCTGCTGCAGAGCACTGATCCATAAATGATCCTACAGCTTTCTCTCTTCCTCCTTCCCAGCTATCTAGGTCATATCTCTCCTCTCTCCATTAGTTCCACCAAAGTCGCCTAGTCTGGTAACACCTGCCTGCTCACCCCAGCAACTGCCAGAGTTTAAAATAAAGCTCCGTTTCCTACACGTATTAAGTGTCAGGAAGGACCAGGGTCTTCTGTACTGTGCAGCGTTCATACAGAAGTGCATTTCTTGACAGGTGCAAACATTAAAAAAGGTCTTGTTCCATTTATCAGGTCTGATCTCAGCGCAGAGCTACGTGGACTTGTAAACATTTTCCAGTATAAACTCCCCTGCATGTGATAAAAGGGATGCAGGGATGCTGGAGGAGGGTGACAGAGCCTGCCATCTCTGGGTCACTGCTTCTGATCCAGCCCCAGCTTGGTAGTTGTCAGAAGTCATCCTCCTTCAGTGGTCCTTGAGTCACATGAGTTTAGGGCCATTCAGTTATGCTTCGAGTGAGTTAGAGAGTCAGATCTGAGGCCCATGGATAATAGAAAAGTGGATGCCAGAGGAGAGGAATATTGCATTGCCATCGCCTAGGCTGTTTCTGCTTGGTGGATAAACAGAGGACTCAGTGTCTAAGGCTATCATTCCCAGCACTAAATTGAAGTGAAACATTACACCCTGAAAGCAGCTGTGAAAAGCATAACCTTACTAAGTGAGTGTTCACCACAGACCAGCCACATGCATCTTACTGATGACCCATAAAACACTGCATTAAAAAACCCTATGTTTCAGAAATGCATGAGCCTAATGCCCCTCTCAGTTACAGCAATTCAGCCTCTGGGATGTCTCCCAGGGCTGGGGCTGGGGCTGAGATGCCACCCACTGCATAGCAGCCTGATTAACCCAGCTGAAAGAGCAACTTTTCCACACATGAGTAAACTTGAATAAAGACAGATTGGAGCTAAGCAAACAGGTGGCTAGTCCTTTTCTCTGTTTCTTTTCCTATTACTTCCAGATTGTCTTTTACTAAGGGCTTGCTCTCCTGCACCTCTCCTTTGTGCAGTCACAGGATAACACCAGACCTGGTGTGAGTAGATAAGATTTCATTGAGATCAATGGAGCTGTATTCATCCACAGCCAGTCTGAATTTGATCTGTAATGTAGGGTTTGTAACATCAGTATTCAAAGTCTCTGGTATTGGTATCCGATACTTATGATACAGTCTTATGTATTCATCAGAATAATTTGTTTATGACATCACAACTCCATGCCTATGGCATGATGTGGAATTTGCAACTTCATTGAAGGTTCAAGTAGAAATAGGAAGTTGGGACAAAAAGGAAGAAACAATTTTTCTTTCCTCTGTGGGTTTTTTTTTAACAATACACAAATTGCATATGTAATTGGCCAATATGATTAAAAAATAACACACCCGCAGACCATCTGATAGCTCCTGTGAGTGAGTTTAATAACAGAGAGGAATACTGGGAAAGTTTCCTCTGACAGCAGAAGGAGATCTTTTAAAATGCCGGTACTGCATGTACCAGGGCTGCCAGCCACCTGGGGAAGCCATATAATCTCTGTCTTTATAGTGAAACTTTTCTGACTTGTTTGCAAAGTATATAGGGTTCCCTGGGGTGTAATCCTACAGCTCAGCAGTTCTCATACTTTTTCATTCTGTAGGTCAGTCTGCATGCATGTATGTCTGCTTGTGTGAGGGAGAAACATGGAGAGTTTGTTTCAGACTATCCCACCTCTTGGATTTCAAGTCCCACACTTTCACAGTAGCATTTCTCTCTCTCACACAGGCTCCCTCCCACCTTCCCCTTCACCCTTATAACTAGAGTTGTTTGTACAGCACTAGCAGGTTGGACCTGTATAACCCTTGTTTCCTGTTTTATGTGTTGTCTGATAGGGGGACCCCATTCCTGAAGAACTTTACAAGATGCTGAGTGACAGGTCGGTGCGTACCATCAGGGACCTCCAACATGCCCTGCAGATAGACTCCGTAGGTAAATCTCCTCTACACCAAACACTCCTTTTGTGACACCCACAATGTGGGGGTATGCCTTCTTTTTCTGGCACAAACAATAGAAAGGCTCCCAGTGTGGGAAACTTTTAATCTCCAGGTGCTTGATCTATTGAAGTGCGCTGCAAAATTCATTCATAATAAGTCTGGGGAAGTTTAAATAGATCTGGGCAAGGAAAGTGGTGCTGGAGAACGACCCAGATAAGCTCCCAAGCTAAGAGATACACAGAGAGGTGGTTCAACAGCAACAGGCTTAGATTAGGAAACAGAGAAGCAGTTGAGCAAATGAGTAGTACATGGATGGATGGAAAGAGGAGCCGGTGAATGAATGAAGTGGCTCATGGTGAGATGTGCAAGCAGATGGACAGGCTAGTCCACAGGTAGAAAGATGCTCAAGGGAATGGATGGGAGGTTACCAGGTGAGTGGCTAGGATTTGTCTATGAGGTAATGGGGTTATGGGTTGGGCATAAGCGACCTGGTCCGTAGGTACAGTATGTAAGGTGGGAACAGGCAGGTGCTTGCACCAGTTCAGAGAGAGCCTCTTTTCAGGGTCCACAGAGAGGGGACGAAGAATGCTAGGTTGTCAGGGGCACTGAGGTGCCAGTGGTTGACGGCACTTCTTTATAGCATGCCCTGGGCCACAGCCTGGACGTGGTGGTGCCTGGGGGACACTCAGCCAGGGCCGGAGTCACCCTGCAGTAGCAGAAGAGAGTAGATAGACCGGCACGTGTGGGAATGGGAGCACGTGCCACCGCCGCCGGGCTAGGTCAGGAATTTATTTATAAACGGTCTCTTCAGAGTGAATTCCATTCTATTCTAACCTCTGCTCCCGCCCGTCCTCCCCCCGCCCCCCTCGCCTTCTTTCTGGTGTTTTGTCTGTTTGTAGCTTTGTAATCCTTGCCGAGACACTATCTATGGGGGAACAGAATTTCCTGCTTTTGTTTCCTATGCCAGTCGCACCACTGGCGTGTTCTCAAAAGCAGTCCCGCTCCCTTTCAAAATGGGCTGGGAGGGGAGGGGGGGACACGAGAGGGAGGGCACCAGCTGTGTTCTGCTATTGTTTCCCTTAGAAAGAGGCGACGAGGTCCCCCCCCAGTTCTCCTCTGAGTCCACGAGCCACACAATGGTGAGGCTTCCAAAATTAGCAGTGCTGGCTTTTCCAAGGCTGGGTCCCCTACCCCCGTCAGCAAAAGTTGAATTGGCCTATCAAGGAGAAGGACACCCTGGAGGGAGAAGCGGGGGGAGGAGGGGGACAAGGAGGGGGGAACTCACTTTTCAATAGAAGATTTGTTTCAAGTCAACAGTGTTGCTATTTCTTTTTTTCTCGTCAACTTAACCTTTACGCAAAAGGCAGCCCCCACCCAGGCCCGATAACATTCCAGAGCATGCGGCATGGCGGGGTGAGGGCAGAGGGACAGAAAAGACACGTGCAGCCTGTCATGCCACGAAGCGTAAGGAAGAGGCACAGCTCTATCCCAGTGGCTGCAGGCTGTCCTGGCAAAGTGACACAGGATTCTCTCCAGGGACCGGGCTGGCTTGGGAGCAGGCTGTGGAGCCTGCCAAAGCCAGGTCACTGGTTTGATCCCAGTTAGGAAAAAGTGGATGATACAGGGAATCTTGTAAGGCTACAAGCTGATCCCCAGTAAGTAGTGACCCACTGTTGTCAGTATTCATGGGCCTGGTGACATCAGCTTGATTGAGGTGCCATTAGAGCAGTGGCAAGATGGTCACCACTGGTGCCCTCCTTCTTGACTGTCCCCACAGAGCGGCTATGAGCTGAATAGGAACCAAATCTCCCCTCTTACCCTTCTACAATGACTTTTTCAGGGGCCACAGAAAGGATCCTGGAGGAGGTGTGATGGGCCTGTCTTGCTTTGCTGTTGCATCTGTCACTTCAGTCAATCTTGCACTTTCACTGGCCCTGAACTCCCTTTAATAAAATAGCTCCCTTGGTGCTGACGTCCATTCTGCTTCCTACTGCAGCTAAACCGGGTCACAGAAGGAAAGGGCTGCAGCTGGGCGGGAGTCGTCTCTGAGCACAGCCATTGTCCAGGGCTCAGGAGAGGCTGCGGACCCGCGTGCTCCACGGGATTATGGGAATGTCTCTGTTCAGGCACTTCCTGTGGGAAAAGCAGCAGGGTGGGGGTGCAAGGAGCTGGGCTAAATGCTATCAGCCCTCCTCTCCCATCGTCTGCCAAACTGTCCCCAATGCCCTGTGGTTTAACTTACAGTAGCAAAAGGGAAGAGTTATTTTTAACTCTGCTTCTTTTTCTCTTCTCCTGCCAAAAAGTTGACTGTGGCTCAGATTGAGGCTAGTGGGGTGGGAGTGAGAAAGCAAACCACCACCTGCAGCTCACTCCAAGCACCAGGGCCCTGCAGCCCCGGACAAACATCTACCCCTGTCCATGGGCCTCGGTCCAGACCTGCAATCCTTCCTGCGGGTCCATGACATCAGCCAATTCACCCAGAGCCTTCCTCACAACATCCCTCCACTCCTGCAGCCCTATTCCAAACAGCTCTCTGCTAAAGCCCATCTCTTAACCCAGGTTAGCTTCTGCTTCTCCAGGCCTCATCTCTCTTTAACAAGATGGGCCTGTTGTTTTGAATGGCTTGGAATGAAGTTATGAATAAAGTTAGAGCCTCCTGCCCTTGTTGCACTTGTGACTGGAGCTGGGGGTTGACCCTTAACTTCCAGGTGTGATGTGCTAGTAGACTGAATGGACAAATGAATTGTCTGTCTCCTCTGCCCCTGTGCTGGTGGGTCCCTGAGCCACTGCTTCCCCTTTTATCTCTACCTTGCATTACTTGGCTTTGTCTTTCTCTTGCAGAACAGGGGAATGGTCCTAGCTTGGACCTGAACTCAACCCAAACCCACCTTGGTCATGACCCTGTTCCCCTGTCCCGAGGGAGACGAAGTGTGGGTGAGTGTAACTTCTGTGCAGGAGTTTCCAGCATGAGTCAGAGATAATCTGCACAATGCACGTTGTAGGGGCGGATGTTTGTGGGCTTATTTTTGCTTGACCATGACAGAATGCCTGTGAGGCTAGATGCATGTACAGTGAGTTTAGCAAATGTAGGGTCCTTTGGTGCAGCTAGACTGTTGCAAGTGAGAGGGCAGACAACAGGGGGCAGGCATTTGCAGCCTGCTTCCTAATGCCCTCCTTTGTTTCAGGCCTCATGACCCAGTGCTGGAAATGCCCAAGCCCTTTTTTCATGACTGCAAGAAAGCAGACACTGGATTTGCCAGGGTAGATGTAGCCTTATGTCTAACTCTGTGTCTCTGATGGGTGTGACATTGTCCTAAGCACAATGAGAGGTGGTTCTGCCTTGTCAAATCTTCAGATTGGCTGAAATCCTTCAACAGAATAGAAGGAAAATGGACCTGGGCTGGTGTCCTCACAATTGGCCTTTTGCACTTTGGGATTCCCAGAGCTGTCCTCTGACTCCATCTGGGTCCAGCGGGGAGTGCTGTGGAGGCAGGGTCTTCAGTCTTAGGAGTGGAGGAGGAGGTAGTCAGAAGCATCACACATCATTCTGTAGGTCTGGCTCACAAAGCAGTGACATCAGCTATCTCCAGAGAAGTGCCTGGTCCCATCCTTTCTAAGCCAAGATGTTAGCTGAAGAAAGCATTACTCGTGTACTCTCAGCATGCTTGACTCTATATTATCCACAGAGGGAAATAGTGCAGGGCACTGAATGGGTGGATGGTGGGAAAAGAACAAACATCTCTGTAGCTGTGGGACAGTGTGAGCCTTTCTCTTACCACCTAGAAGGGCTGCGCTGGGTCTCTGGTTGCTACAAAACCTATTTCATTGTTTTTCACTTGGGTTGCTCTAGATGGCCTAGCCGCTGCTGAGCCAGCTGTCCTTGCTGAGTGCAAGACGCGAACAGCGGTCTTTGAGATCTCCCGGAGCATGGTGGATTCCACCAATGCCAACTTTGTGGTGTGGCCACCCTGTGTGGAGGTGCAGCGGTGCTCGGGGTGCTGCAACAACCGCAATGTGCAGTGTCGCCCCATGCGGGTCCGTGTGCGACACATCCAGGTACGTCCCCAGCCCTCTGCCTGCTCCCTTATCTTGGCTTGCTCTTCTACTAAATACACCGCACATCTAAGGGGACTGCCTGTTACCGTGAAAATGCATTGTCCATGGTGCTGGCCTCACCATCCCTCACTCAGCTTGTGCCTCAGTCCTGATACATGCACTGAAACAGCCCCTCCTCTTGTAGCCCCTCTGTGATCCTCCTCTCCGGTCCTGCTACAGTCACCTACTGGCTGACCTCTTGCTATAATCCTGCTAGCTTTTCAGTTCATAGCAAGCTCCTCCACGCTTCCTCCCCAGACAGCTAGTTTAAAAATATAATCACTCCCATGCAAATCCTCTGCCTGGTGTGTGAGAACCTCCCCCAGGCCCCAGGCAGGCAGCAGGTGGGGGGGGACAGAAGGGGGGTGGCATTCATACAGTCAGCTGTAGCAGGAAATGCCTCTCTCAGGAAAGCCTCACTGAATAAGAGACATGAGAGAGTGGAGGCAAAAGTGGGACTTGTTTTTGTGGAAAAAGCAAATGGGAGGTCACTTGTCAGCCAGAAAAAGTGACCTGGAAATGGTTCCTCTGAGGACAGAGGTCTTTGTATTGTTTGGCTGGAAATGTTTGTCTAGTGAGCAGCGTGTGGTCTGAAGCGTGTAGAGTGGGCTTTCAAAGAAAGATAAACAGTCAAGAGATTTGATCGCTGGTTGAGTGATGTTGCTGGGGGCAGTGGGTTTAAAGGAATTCAGTCTCAGACTTGAAGCAGCGATAGCATTTATAACCAGTGGACAGCCCTCCACAGGCAATGTGGTCTTGTAAGATAAGCTAAGCAGCAACAGGACTGGTCAGTACTTGAATAAGAGACCACCAAGGAAAACATAGGGACTGTACTAGGACATGATGGCAGTGATGCAAGAAGAGGCTCTCCCCTCTGAGTCAGGACTGAAAGATGCCTCTCAGGAGTGTTGTGCTGCCAAAATGCTGTCTTTCACATGAGAGGTAATTCTGAGGTCCCTACCATGGTTAATCATCAAAGATCCTGAGTCAAATTCAGCCATGGTGCTATCAAAGTCACTAGAGTTGCATCTGGTTGTACCAGGTCTGAAGTCCTCCTTTCTTTGTGTGAGGGAATTATCTTCCCAGAATCACATTTTAGTTCATGGCATTCTGCTACCCCTACAACTTACTTTGTCAAAGCTAACAGACACAGGCTTAGTCTGAATTTCTTATCCAAGTTGTATGGTGGCTCTGTGCACTACTAACAAGTGGTCATGTCCAACACTAGAAGCAGCTGTATGTTAGGTAAAATGTATGCAGTGATTTTCTATGCAGGAGGCCAAATTCAGACCTCCTTGATTTAAGTTCACAGCACACTGCTGGTATCAATGGAAGCTGCATCAAACTGTATCGAGTCTGAATTCAGTACATTGCCAGTAAAGCATTTGTGAACCCTGTAGGAAGAGATCTAAAGACAGGTTAGACAAACATTGGTTTGGGATGATTTAGATGAGCCCTTGAGCAGGGGGCTGAACTTGATCTGTGGAGCTCAGCCCTTTAGAGCAGGAGGCCAGGTGCTTGCAACCCAGCTACACTTCTGGCTACCACTCTTCTGGAAAGAGAGTGAGGTAGGAGGTGGCTGCCAATGTCAGGGGAAGGGGAGGGAGAATGGGGGCTGGGGAGGAAGAAAGGAAAAGAACAGAGCAGGGAGGGTTGTGAAGGGGATCAACAGCATGGTGAAGTTCAGGGAAGGGGACACATTGGGCTTTCCACTGATCCCCTGTGTCACAGACCAGATTCAGTCACTGTAAGGATGGATCTGGCCCGTGAGCCCTAGGTTGAGCACCACTGGACTAGATCATCTCCTGCGGTCCCTTCCAGCCCTGTTTTCCTGTGATGCTAAGAATGTCAATAGAAATGCAAGATATTATTCATATGTACAGAGTGCATGAGTGTCTTTGTATTCTCTCCCAATAGGTAAACAAGATTGAATTTGTCCAGAAGAAGCCAAACTTTAAAAAAGTCATTGTGCCTTTGGAGGACCATGTGGACTGTCGCTGTGAGGCACTGTCATCCCGGCCCTCCAGTCACAGTTGGCCCAATCTACCCAAATACAAACGTAAGGGGGGAATGAAGAGAGGCTAGGAAGAGGGGGCCCCTCAGCTCTAATGAACTGACTCAGATCAACTGAAAGCCTTGGCCAGAGCATGTGCCTGGGTGTTATGGGCAAAAATGGAGGGAAGTGGAAGAGTGGCCAGGGGAGAGAAACATACAGAGAGGGGAGGGAAAAGAAAACACTGGGGAAGAGGGAAAGAACAGAGGGATGGGGCTGTGGAGGAGTGAGAAAATCTGGTGAAGAGAAGGAAGAACAGAGAGAGGAAAAAAAGGGTCTTCAATTCTCCCATGGTAAAGTTAGCTATTGATGATGGCTGGGGAAAAAGTATTTCCAACAGACACAGCTGCCACTCATGGCCTGTCCACTCTGACCTCTGATTTGGCAGATGGATTATTGACAATCACTACAGCTCCTGTGTCAGCAAGGCAACGAGCACGCCGGCTGCAAGCACAAAAGAGGAAACATCGGAAGTTCAAGCATGTCCCCGATAAGAAAGTGCTGAAAGAAATCCTCACAGCATAGAGGTGCTGGCAGAGGAGGGAGTGCAAAGCAGGTGAGAGCAGCAGCTATTGCCAGTGAAAGCTTGCAAGGTGATCCCAGACAGTGGCGACACGCAGGGGGTGCACAGGGGTGCACGTGCATCCCTAAGAGCGCTGGTGCACCCCCTGACCAGCTTCACTCGCTGCTTAGATGATGGGCAAGGGGGGGGAGGTGGGAGCGCTGGTGCCCCCCCTGCGAGCACCAGCCGATTGCTGAAGCCGCTTCCCGGAGTGTCTGTGGCCACTTCTGGGGCGGGCAGGGGGGGCGCGAGGGGACACAGCCACTCCCGGAAGTGGCTGCAGCAATCGCAGTGATCGGCCGTTGTGGGATTGCCCACAGGGGACCTCCGGCCCCTTCCCCACCCGGTCGGCAGTTTAGTGGTTCTCAACCTTTTTAGATGTCAGGTACCCCTCACTAGACCAAAGGCACCCCACCATCACTCTTGTGAACTGAGTGGCAACCCATTTCAAAAGCTAATTGCTTTATTACAGTGGTTTCCTCCTTGCAGAGGGACCAGGTAGTGGGGCAGGAGGAGCAGTTAGGCAGGGAGAGCCTGAGCCTACCCTTATCTACTTATCTACTCACACCTGATTTATCCCCTCACACTTTTTGAGGCCCCCCTTCAAAGGATCTCAAGGCACCCCAGGGTGCCCTGGCACCTTGGTTGAGAATCACTTGTGTAGTCTGACAAAGTAACAGGGCTAGGCTAAAACAAAGCAAATTTATCCTATGGCCTGTTTACCATGCTTGAACTCTAGCAGGCAGGGGTGAAAAGCCGCACTTTGCCCTGGAGTCCCTGCTTCACACCATCACCTTGCTTCCAGCCTGACAACCAGACTGTCACCTGTATGATCCCCCTCCTTGGAGATCACATTACTTGTTTCTCTTGTGGAGCTAGCTCTGATTCCCTTTGCATACTGAGCCTGCACTGACGGTGAAGAACTAGCATCCATTTTGTGCCCTGTACTGAGGGCTTCCTTTTTTTTCCTAGATTTATTTTTTATTTTTTGGTTAAAATGGCAGAAGGACATGCGCACAGCAGTGTTCTGGCCTGCATCACCATCTTAGTGGGAAGTCTGAGAGCGTAACAAAGGTCAAAGAACATGGAAAGGAGAACTGGCATCTCCGTAAATTTGATTGACATCCTCTCAGTTTTAGGGGCCTCATTCTTCTTCTGCTGGCCTCAGGTCCTCACCAGAGAGCCTGGGCCCTCTCACAGGTCTCTCACAGAATTGGGGTGTAGGACTGAGCACAGGACTGGGGCCAGGAGTTTTCTAATCTAAAAGGAAGTTGTGTTTCCTAGTGGATAGAGCCCCGAGTCTGGGACTCAGGAGACTTGTTTTCTATTTCCAGCTTTGATATGAGCCTGCTGAGCAACCTTGATTAAGTCAGTTCTCGCAATGCCTCAATGTCCTTATGTATAAAATGGGATTTATAATGATCCCGCCACCTTCTGTAAATTGCTTTGAGATCTTTTGGTGAAAAATGATGGCAAATACCTAGGTAGCATTATTATTTCTGCTTTCAGCACTAAGACTGCCCTGGTCTATGCCAGAAACCCCTCTGGACTCTAGGCAGACACAAATCCAAAAGCAAAAGTGGTGTAAAGCTATTTTTGCTCTAGTGCCAACCTTGCTGTGGCTGTGTTTGTGCTGGAGAAAAGCAGAGGATGTCAGTGGATTCGTCTCTAGGGCTTTTAGGGGACTAGGAGATGGAGATGGATGCTTTAGTCTTATACAATGTCTGGTTTTGTTTAATTTCCAGGTTTATTTAATATATTTGCTGTATTGCCCCCATGGGGTCCTCAGAGCGATAACTTTTCCTCTTCGTCCATCTGCCTCGGTGCCTGACTTGGACAACAAATGGTGCTTGCCTTTTCTTCTTGGACCTTCTCCCACCAAAGTCTCCCCTCAGTTTCCCTTTTTTCATATATTAACAATGTTTTAAAATTTTCCAAGAAAGAAAACAAAACATTTAAAAAAACCCACAAGAAGCCACAAGCAACTGGGATAAGACAAGGCTTTCCCTGTTGCAGAAGACAGGATGGGAAATAGGAAAGACAAAAATGGGTCCAATTTCCTTTTTTGGGGGGGAAGGGATCAGTTGGGGGGTGAGAAAGTGAGGAGAATTGTCCTCCTTTTCCTTCTCAATTCTGTTACGGGCAAAGGGCTCGGACTGAAGTCAATAATTGCAATGGATGTGTTTCAAAGCAGATGGATCTCAGATGAAGAGCAATCACCAATGATGGAAAATGCACTAAGAACTTTTACTGGCACATCTGGACAGATTTCTTTCTTTTTTGTTTGTTTGTTTGTTTGTTTTTTTACATATGTGTGTGTATATATTTTATTTTAAAAAACCACTAAAACATACAACATCTCGGGGAACAGAACAAATGAATGCAGAGCGCAGTTACCACACTCACCCCAGCCACTGCAGACTGGAGGGCGTCTGGATCAGTGAAAAGATGAGGACAGCAGGCCAGAACCATTCTCCAGTGCTCCCCCCTAGCCCCGACAAAGACTGTCATTTTGGCACACAGCTATCGGCTATTGAGGGTTGACTTTCCAGTCTTGGACTTGGGTTATTGTTTTTTAATTAATTTGGTATGTGTGTGTATATATGTGCATATAGATACCTATATATTCATATATACATACATACATATCTATACGTGTGGGTTTTTAAATGGGTTTGTTCCACAGTGGGAGGAGCCTCCAGGCAAGCTTGTATGTGTGTCGGTATGTCTGTGTCGGTCTGTCTCTGTGTGTATGTCTGTGTGTGTGTGTGAGCAGTGATCTAATTCCTCTGCTATCCCCAGTTCAGTCTTTTTTCCCCTTTGCTTTTCCCTCTGGTTAACAACTGCCCTCCAGGATGCAGAGTGACAACATCATTGACCAATGCACATGTGAGCTTGCAAGCATTACTTCATCTGGATAAACTATGGTTGGCTGATCCAGGATCCTGAGGGCAGCATTGTAATACCGAAGATGGTTCTGGGAGCAGTTTAACCCTTTTGTGGATGCACTGTCCTTCAGTTGCTTTCTCCCATTTCACCCATTCCCCGCCCACACATCTATTGCAAACACATGCAACAGAGGGGTTTTTTTCACATGTATTCAAGCCCTGCCCAGTTTTTAAATAACTGTAGAACCAAGGAACTTCTTGGGAAACTAGAAGTCATGGAGGAGAGGAGGGCAAATGGGAGAGAGTAAACCTCTAAATTTGCAAAAGTGATTAAAAACAGAAATAATTCCCTTATTGGAAGACTGAAAGAGAATGGCTGTTTGGTATCCCTAGTTCCTGGCCATCATAGAAATGCTTAGGATTTGAGGGTGTAGAGGGCAGAATGATTCTCCTATGAGAATGTACATGCAGTCACGTAGAAGTGTGTCCAGCTCTAGGCTCCCCACTACAGAAAGGATGTGGAAAAATTGTCCAGCAGAGGGTAATGAAAATGGTTAGAGGGCTGGGGCACATGACGTATGAAGAGAGGCTGAGGGAATTGGGTTTATCTAGTCTGGAGAAGAGAAGACTTGGGGGGATTAAATAGCAGCCTTCATCTACCTGAAGGGGGGGATCCAAAGAGGATGGAGCTGGGCTGTTCTCAGTGGTGGCAGATGACAGAACAAGGAAGGGTCTCAAGTTGCAGCAAAGGAAGTTTAGGTTAGTAGGAAGAACTCTATTATGAGGAGGGAAGTAAAGCACTGGAACAGGTTACCCAGGGAGATGGTTGAATCTCTATCCTTGGAGGTTTTTAAGACCTGGCTAGACAAAGCCTTGGCTGGGATGATCTAGTTGGGGCTGGTCCTGCTTTGAGCAAGGGGTTGGACTAGATGACCTCCTGAGGTCCCTGCCAACCTTCATTTTCTATGATTCTATTAATTGTTCAGGATGTTAATAACATTATTGATATCATTATTTATGTATATTGCAATAACCCTTACAAGCTCCAATCACTGACCCATGGTGCCACCTAGTGCCATAGCAAGAGGGGTGGGGGTGAGTGGGGCAACCACCCTGGGCGCTGAAGCGAAGGGCACCAACAGGTGTTGCCCAGCCAGGGCATGACGTGGGACAGAGCTGTGAGCAGCTTGTTTGGGGGGATATGGGGACAGGGGGAGGTTGGCTTCTGCTGCTGTGTGCATTCCTGGGCAAGCATGAGGGGCGTGTAGCCCCCAGATCTATGCACGGGGCAAAGGCAGGCTGCCACTATAGGCTTTGCCTCAGGCACCAAACTTGCTTGCTGTGGCACTGGTGCGACCCTGCCCTGTCTTCTGTCTGACTTCAGGCTAATATGGCTAACTACCTCTCTACACACGAGAGGAGAGGGGAAGTGAGGCAGAAGAATGGGAGTAGGGAGCACTTCCTTTCCAAGGAACAGCCTCTGGGTCACTCAACATAGTTTATACATTGGTGCAGAGGAACCAAGGAGGAGCATGGTGTTAACTCTACTAACTGCTCTCAAGACTGTTGCAAACTGATGGCCCCATTCACCACCCCTGCTCCTTACTTCAAACTGTAGTTGCCTGGGGAGATGAGCTGGAGGAAGGTGATGAAGCAGCAAGATGGGAATTAGCAGAGAGATATAGATTTCCCATCATCTCAGATTCAGAGCTCCCTTCCTGATGCCAACTATCACCACCTTTTTCTGCCTTCTCTTCCTTCTCCCTTCAACCTGTAACCTCGCAAGTCTTAAGACACTTTGTTCTCCTGCTCCAAAATCGGCTTCCTTCAGTTTGTAAAGTTGGTGAGGTTTTATTTTATTTTATTTTTTGGCTTTTTTAATGTAAGGTTAATTTATACTCAGTACTGTATTTAAAGTTGTAAAAAAAAAAACCAAAACCAAAAAAAACCCAACAAAACAAAAACTCTCAACAAAGTTTGATATTTGTGTGTATGTTCTACAGTGGGCAATATTAAAAAGGGGGTGGGAAATCCAAGGCCAGCCAGGGAATCTCTTTCATTTCTAGGACATTGTAACTGAGATTACAGAATTAGAGCAGCCAGCATTGGAAAAGTCCTTGTTTTTCACATGCACACACATACACACATGCACACCTTTGTCAGTAGCCAGGGCAAGGTTGTTCCCTACAGCATTATTCCCCACTGGACTGGGCTATCTGGTTTTAAGTGACTCAGGTGTTGGGGTTTTCCCGTTCTTTAAAGCTCCACCGTTGGCAGACACATTCCAGCACCCAGCCAGAACACTCCTTTGTTCACTTCCATCTTGTTAATTCACGTTTTATTCCTTTGAACAATTCACAACAATTCATTTCCCTCCATGGAGTTTACTCTCTTCAAAGACTTGCAAACAGCATATCCCTCCTGTTAGTCAATGTCTAGACAGCTTCAGCTCTTTTTCTCTTTCCTCTCAAGGGTTCAGAAGGCCAATGTGTTTCCCCTTCCTCTGAGTAAGGGAGGTGTTGCGCATTCTGGCACCCATATGTAAGACAGCTGTCCCATGCCTCTGTGCAGTTAGCATATAGGTGGGTATAAACAGCCTCTTCCCTCTGGGCCAGTCCACAAGCAGCTACTGGAATCTCCCGTAAAATGAGCAAACTCCTAGGCTACAAAAATACTTTGCATTTGTCCCAGGATAAACCATTTTATCCAGGAACAAAGTGCAGTCGTTCAGATACTAATGTTTGTTGCCTCGGGATAAAACCTAAAAAGGCTCACAGTATAAGTAGTACTAACAGTTTATCCCAGGACACAGTAAAGTGTGTCTGAATGGTCATCCTGGGATTACATCATTCAATCAATGGCAGAAAAGCAGAAGTGCATTCAGCCATGTACTAAACCCCGATTAGAAGGGTAATGTGTGTATATACCAGTCTCAGCATTTTCTGTTATGGGACAAACACAGGCACAACTTGTCCAAGGACAAATGCAATGCATGTTCCCATCCCTAGATACACTCCCCCTACGTCTTCATTCCCTGATTCCACTGCCTTGCTCATTGTCCCTGTTATGCGTTGTTTTTCTAACTAGGAAAGTAGCTCTGAAGCTTGGAGAAGTAGCACATAAGACTCTGCAGGCAGCAATTTGAGTTCAGTTGTATCAGGCTACCCCAGAATTTCCCCTGCAGTTTTGCTCGGAGACATTATTCTTCCCTTTCCTTCCTGAAGTACTCAATTCTCTGTGCTCTGTGATAGAGGGAGCTGAACAACAGCCACCAAAATACTGAGCGGAGAGGATAGGCCTAAAGAGGAACTCATTCTGCTCCATAGGTGGCAAATCCATGGAGCTCCATGTCTTGCTTAATCCTCAGTTAAGAGGCTACCTCCAAATGCAGGGCCTAGGGCCTGGGGTTCCAAGGATCCTGTCATACTCCACTAATCTTCTTTTAAATTACAGAGGCCAAAGGGGAGTGTTGCCTGCAGCCTGCACAGCACAGTGGGATTAGCAGGGCAATGGTACTAAGGAAATCTAAGATGATAATGCTGCTGCCTTTGATCTAGAAATTGGGACTATAATGCCTGTGAGAACAGGTGTTTTCTCCTCAAACTCTTCCAGGATGGTATTGTGATTTGAGGGGCTTCAGGGAGGTTGGGACAAGGGACATTGGATGTAAGGCAATGGAGAAACGGGTCCCTGCAAGAAACTGTACTTCCACTTGTGAAGAAAAAGGAAGAGCTGCGTTCCTACTCCATAAACCTAGGATAGGACATGTTCCCTGTCTGCCCTTTATACATATATGGCCCCTGCTGCAGCCATTCAAAGAGCCAAGTGCAAAGCCATCTGCAAGACTGGTAACAAGCAGGTATGTATCTAGGTTCAAACTATGCTAAGGTGAGTAAGTGTGTTGCAAGAAACCATTGCTCAGAAAACCTTGACTTTACAACAAGCATCTTGCTTCCCTATGTAACAGCTGCCTCAGCTGATTATAATACCTAACTGCAGTATCTTGGAGTACTCTTAGAGTAATCAATAATGTTTTATCTACAGCAAAACCAAGAAATTACAGCAATGCAACTGCACAGGTACAGTCAGGCCTCCAAAGTCTATCTCATAAACCAGTGCCTTGCATTTAGAAATTACTTTTGCTCCCAGAAATTGTGCTGGACCCTACTGAGTAAATTCTTCAAGTTGTGCAGTGTGCTGCCCATAGAAGTGCAAAGTGTTTCTGAACATTCAGGACAGTGAGGCCAACTCTTATGATTTTGTTCTGTATCTTAAGAGAACTGATGTTTTTACTTAATGCCCCAGGTTTTGAGGACAAGGGACTATGTGGAAAGTTCATCTTTCATTAAAAAAATGTTTCTAACCCTTGGGGCTGGTGTAAAACACTTGCCTGCCTGTACACAAATGCCAGGAGCTTGGGGAATAAGCAGGAGGAACTCATCCTCCTGCTCAATGCAAATAATTATGATGTCATAGGGATAACCGAGACCTGGTGGGACTCCACCCATGACTGGACCACGGGTATAGATGGCTATACCCTGTACAGGAGGGATCGTGTAGATAAAAGGGGCGGGGGTGTAGCTCTCTATGTTAAGGAAAGCTACACGTCCCTGCAAGCCGATATTGGCGACCAGGGTGGATGGCTGGAGACCCTCTGGGTT